GGAGCCGACGCGGTACCTGAGAGCGCAGACTCACCAGCACCTGGGGCAGCAGGCTCATTGGCACCTAGAGCAGCAGCCTCACCAGCACCTAGAGCAACAGCCTCAATGCCCGGGTCAGGCGGAAAACACCGGTAACAGTCACCCTCATCACTAATAGTCACAGCATACATTGCAGCAAGAATAGCATCATAATCAAGATCAAAGATCGCGACACCCGCCCTAAACAGCTCGCCCCAGCGAGGGATCTCAGTAGCGTCGGGGAACTGGTGACGCCAAGCGTCCGTCAGGTGGCCGAAGCAGCGCTGGGTGGAGTGCGGACCCCCACACTGCTCACCCGTGCGGTCGCCTGTACGTAGAACGTAGGTACAGGGGCCAGCACCCCAACCCCGCTGACGAGCAGTGTACCACTCACGAAGCTGCTGGGGGGAAGGGGTCTCACGAGTGCGTTGCTGCTGCTGCTGCTGCTGGCGCTGACCACCACCGGAGCCGACCCTCTGCGAAGAGCCGCCCCGACCAGCTCCACCTCCGCCGCCGCTACCTCCACCACCGCCTCCACCTCCACCACCTCCGCTCGCACCGCCACCGCCGCCGCTTCCTCCGCCTCCACTGCCGCCACTAGTGCCCCCACTCCCGCCACCACTCCCACCGCCACCCCCACCCCCTCCGCCGCCTCCACCGCCGCCTCCACCGCCCCCGCCAGCTCCTCCAGCGCCCTTGCCCCCCTTGCCCTTGCCTGAGCGGCGTCTTCCGCTAGGGGCAGACGCCGCGCCGACCGGCTCAGGACCAACGAGGTCGGCCACAGCAGCAGAGGCAACAGAGGGCAAGAGGGGGGAGGGGGAGCACCCCTCAGAGACAGGGGTACGAGGGTCACCACGAGAGGCTCCGACAGCGACTATACTCGTTTCTGCTGCTAGGAGGCGCTCCTCGAGGAGGTCAACGGTGAGGGTGGTGGGGCAAACAGAGAGGAAGTGGTCCCTAACCGAGCGAAGGGTGTCAGGGAGCCGGGTGACTATGTAGTAGAGGGTGATGTACATAGGGGGGGTTTCTTGGCGCAGAACTCAGCAGGAAGCGCAGCGCGGTAGCGAATGTCACTAGTGCGAAGGTGCGTAATGAGGTCAGCGACTGTGGGAAAAGCGGCGAGGTCAGGGAAGAGGTACGGCAGTATGAGGCGGCTAAGGGCAGCAGTGGCAGGGGAAGAGTAGCGTGCAACGACAGCGTCGTACAAGGTCTTAGCACTCTTGTACTGACTAAAATGCGCGCGCTCAGCGGTCGGTAAGTGGCGGCGCACAGCAAGGCGAGCAGCAGCATCGCGCGTGGCCCACTGTGAGCGAACAGTGGCGTCAGCATCAGCAGCAGGGGCAGGAGAGGCACCAGAGGTGAGGTCAAACAGAGAGAGACCGTCTGCCCTATCGCACTGTAGGAAAAGCTGCAGATCATCTACCCAGACCTCAAAGTCAACAGCCCGACCCTCAGCGTCAAAGGTGAGAACATGGGGGTGGCCATGACAGCAGTAGACTGGCAGAGAGAGCAGCGGGGTAGGGCAGTGCAGTGGCAGAGGCGCTGTTCTTACCAGGCAGGTGGGGCGGGCCGAGGCAGGCCGGCAGGGACAGGGCCGCGACGGCAGGGACTGCGGCGTCTCGGCTGCGGTGGCGTGGCGGCTCGGCGGCTCGGCTGCAGGGCGGCTCGGCGGCTCGGCGGCTCGGCAGCTCGGCGGCTCGGCGGCTCGGCAGCTCGGCGGCTCGGCAGCTCGGCGGCACAGCGGCAGTGACGGCGGCTCGGCTGCTCGACGGGGCCGGGAAGGGCGGCTGAGGGGCCGAGGAAGGGCGGCAGGGCCGCGAAGGGCGGCGACGGGGTCGCAAGGGGCGGCAACGAGGCCGCTGAAGGGCGGCGACGAGGCCGCTGAGGGGCGGCGACGAGGCCGCTGAAGGGCGGCGACGAGGCCGCGAAAGGGCGACGACGGGGCCGCGGAAGGGCGGCAATGGGGCCGCTGAAGGGCGGCGACAGGGCCTTAAGGGGCGGCGACGGGGCCGTAAGAGGCGGTCGCGGGGCCGTGAGGGGTGGCGACGGGGCCGTAAGGGGCGGTCGCGGGGCCGTGAGGGGCGGCGACGGGGCCGTAAGGGGCGGCGACGGGGCCGTAAGGGGCGGTCGCGGGGCCGTGAGGGGCGGCGACGGGGCCGTAAGGGGCGGTCGCGGGGCCGTGAGGGGCGGCGACGGGGCCGTAAGGGGCGGTCGCGGGGCCGTAAGGGGCGGTCGCGGGGCCGTAAGGGGCGGCGACGGGGCCGCTAAGGAGCCACGCGGGGCCTAGAGAGGGCAGCGACGGGGCCTGAGGGGCGGGACACTAGGCGCGCTTCGGGCAGGGGCGGCACGCGGCCCGGGTAGGAAAAAAAAATCTTGGTGGGCCCTAGGAACAGTTCCCACGAGGGAACCTGCTCGATACCATGAGAAACTTAGAACGAGAATGAATTGACTAAGGAATGAAAGTGATACAAATGTGAAACCCTAGAATTGTGTACCCCTTAGTATCTAACCCGCTACAGCCTACACAGGCTAGATCATATAAGTTTGACACAACAGACCCACGGGCGACTGGCAGCAGCAGGCTCGCTGGGCTACCGGAGTACTCAACCCCCGGACTACTGGCGCTGCAGACGTCACAACGGCAACCTCCGGTCAACCTCCCCCAACTGTCCCACACCCCTTTCACACTCCCCCTATTGAACCTCTAGCACCGCTCACACGCCACCCCCCTCGTACCACTCCGACGGCTCCAACACATCCACCCCCCTCAGCGGCAGCTGCAGCAGTGGGAGACGGAGGAGGAGGAGGAGAAGGGGACGGCTCACACACACGGCACCCCCATACCCTCCACCCCCAAACCCTAACACAGGAACGCAGGCAGCAGCGGGGGTGGGGCGCAGTCAGGAGCTCGGGGAACGGCGTGCGGCAAGGGGGGGGGACAGTACGGGCCGCTCATGGGCCTGGTGCAGCCCGTACGAACCGCGCGCGGGCTGCCTGAGCCGCGCGCGGGCCTGGCGCAGCCCGTACGGGCCGCGCGCTGGGCTGGCGCAGGCCGAACGGGCCGCGCGCGGGCCTGGCGCAGCCCGTACCGGCCGCGCGCGGGCTGTACGGGCCGCGCGCGGGCCTGGCGCAGCCCGTACGGGTCGCGCGCGGGCCTGGCGCAGCCCGTACGGGCCGCGCGCGGGCCTGGCGCAGGTCGCGCAGGCCGCGTCGGGCGACGGGGGGCGACGCGACGGTTCGACGGGGCAGAAAACCGCTGCGCGCCTCGGGGCGCGCGGCGGGAAGAAAAATCGCTGCGCGCCCGGAGCGCGCGGCAGGCAGGAAACAGCACGCGCCCGGGGCGCGCTACAAGCAGTAGAGCAGCGGAAGCATCGGGTGGGACCCACCCACAGGATCGACCCAGGAGGGTCGACCTGCTCTGATAGCATGTTGAAATGCTAGGCAAAATCAAGAAACAGGAAAGAGGGGTTTTCACTAGCATGCAGTTCAGTACATATAGCAAACCCTAATTCGGGCTATACTCGCTATTGAGTACCCCACTGCAGGCTACACAAACATCACATTCTGACAGACTCGGTGTTGCTTCGCTGTGAGGTGAGTCTGCTTCGTTCTTGTTATAGCGCTCGACACATCAGAAGCGCGAACTATATGTTTCCAACAGTTACGAGCAGGATTGAAAGGACCTACCGTAAGATTGTGTAAGGGTAATCCACATCAATCGTTTGATACACAAATAGATGTGTCTTGTGTATATACGTGGGTGGAGCCTCTTTAGGGTTTCATGTAAGACTTCATTTCCTGGACTCTTTTCTGAGTTGTCCACAAACGAGTACAATCTACACCTCGCCGAGCTGGTTTCATCCACTCACATCGGACGACCAGGCCGTGCCAGGCACGGCGGCGTATGACGCGCCAACGGGGCACATCCGCAAGCGAGGCTGACCGCGTCGTGGTGTGTGTGGTTCCGCCAATTCTCCCCGCACTGCGCAGGTCAAAACTGTCAAGGCGGTGGGGACGAACAGCAGGGAGATGGAACGTTGCGCGGGGCACCACACCAGTCCGAATGATCCCCCATGACGCGTTGTTACCAATCTGCACCACCGTGTACTAAGCTGCAACGAGCGATATGCCTTTCTGGAACTAGTGCCTCCCCCTCTTCAATCCACCACGGTTTCCCCTGTCGGACCTAGAGAACTCCGGTACATGTCAACTCACTTGAACAGAGAAGAGGTTTCTCCCGCGTTCATTCGCTGCGTTGCGTTTCAAAGCGGAAGCTACTCATACCACTGTTTACCGTGCGGGAAGTTGATTTACCGCACAGAGACAACAAACAATGGGGGGGACAAAGCACGCGGAGTTGACACGATGGCTCCACAACACACCATGCTGTTCAGCTTTTTCAATACACGTCACTAGTGCAAAGCAAACACCATCTCACTAGTGGTCTGAAGAGCAAGACGTCTAACCTTTAGTTTAGGCATTTAAATATTTAGAAAGCAGCACCTCGGGAAAGATGTTCACGCAAACTTGGTGCGACTCGTTTCAATCGCTTCGTCGCTTCATAGGACTTCATTCGTAGAAGACTCGTCAGCAGAGGCGTGCATATAGTGTCTGTTCTTACCCCCTCCATATTAAGTTAGGATAGCGCCTAGGTTACCTATTACTGTGGATAGTGTTCAGACTCACTTGCAGCGCGAGGAATCCACCCGCGTTAAGGTAACAAGCGATCAATTTCACAGCTTTCCCTCTTTCTCCGTTTCTTGCGTCGCTCTCGCCCATCCCCGCCCATGTCACTCGCCGTCACCCCGTTCGCCGGCTCCATTCGCCTGTCGTCACTTGCGTACTCGCTAATTTCCCGCCCCACCCTACGCTATTCTCACTCAGCGCCACACTCTCTCAACTCCACGCGGCTTCACTCAACCCCATCTTCACCCTTACTCCCCCTCATGCTTGCGCAATTCTCCCCCCCTTCGTCACCCCAGCCCTCCCCCTCCGCGTGCTCCCCCCGCCATGGGCAACTGCTTCTCCACGCCGCCGCCGTCGCCCAGAAAGCCCCCGCCGCAGCAGCAGCCACAGCAGCGCGCCCCGCCTCCGCCCGCCGCACGGCCAATCCCCAACGGTCACCCGCCTCCCGCGCCGCCGCACGCCCCGCCGGCGCCACAGCCGGTGTCGCCGAGGCAACCAGGTGCGGCTGCCCCGCGCTCGCGCTTCTGCTCGTCGATCCCTCCCCATTCGCGCTATCCGGTCCCACCCCATCCGCCCTTCCCACCCCCTGCCTTCCCCCACTCTCCCCACTCCCCGCCCCCCCTTGCGATCTCGTTGCACCTCCCATCGTACCCACCTGATCGTTCGGCCTCCCCCTCGTGCCAATTCTTGCACCCTTGCGCTGAAGCACCACAGCCCTCAATCGTACCCTCACCACCCGTCCTCACTCTCCCCTCTCCTCCCTTCTTCATCCCTCCCGCCTCTCCCTCACCTTTTCCCTTCCCCTCTCCGCTGCAGTAGCCCCCCACCACCCCCAGAAGCAGCGGGCGGGTACCCACTCCGCAAGCGCCTTGCACCCGGGGTGGTATCCCAGTACTACGAGGAGGTGCAGGAGGCCACGCACTCCTTCTCCACCCACTCGCACCACCTCTCACGCCACTCAAACTCCCCCTCCCGCTTCTTCTTCCCGCTCCGCTCCCCTCCCTTTTCCCCACTCGCCCAAACCCCGCTCGCCCATCCCTTCCCCCCTGCCCTGTCCCCAGCAGCGCCCCCGCCCCCCCCAGCCGCAACAGGCGGGTATCCCCTGCGCAAGTCCCTGGCGCCCGGAGTGGTATCGCAGTACAACTACCAGGAGGTGCAGGCCGCCACGCACTCCTTCTCCACCCACTCGCAACACCTCTCACGCGCCTCAAATCTCTCTCTTCCCTCTCCTTTCCCCCCTCCCCCATCCCCCCTCCCGCGTCCCCCCTCCCCACTGGCCCTCCTCTCAGCAGCGCCCCCGCCCCCTCCAGCGGCAGCGGGCGGGTACCCCCTGCGCAAGTCTCTTTCCCCGGGAGTGGTGTCGCAGTACAACTACCAGGAGGTGCAGGCCGCCACTCAGTCCTTCTCCACCGAGATCGGCCGCGGGGGCTTCGGCGTGGTGTTCCATGGGCGCCTGGCGGACCCCCAGGGTGGCCCGCCACACGAGGTGGCGGTGAAGCTGATGGCGGAGGACCACATCACCAACGGCATTGACAGCTTCATTGTGCGTGCCAGAGACACACTGCATTGGCAGCACCATGGGCTCATGCATGAAAACGGGCACACACACACAAGGAGAGTGACACTGGAAAATATGGTTCATTGTGAATCTGGGTAGGACACTTTTCGCTGCCATCCTTTGTACTTACCCTGCTACCAGCTGCTTCCCTGCAGCCTGGAATAATCGCCGCCACTTTCATTCTCCTCACCTGTCATCATCCCCCTCCCGCCCCTCTTCCCTTGCTTGCATGCCTCATGTGCGCTGCTGTGTCGCCTGCCCTGAATGATTGCCATGGCCTGGCGTGGTATGGCACGGCACGGCATGGCACACAGACGGAGGTGGGGGTGATGGCGAGGGTGCACCACCCCAACATACTGCGACTGGAGGGCTACGTGGTGGGCGCCACGCCCATCCTCATCTACGACTACGTGTCCATGGGGGACGTCTCCACGTACCTCGCTAAAGGTAAGTGTGCCCATGCTACATGTGTGTGTGAATCTCAACAATGGTGTGTCTATGAGTCATGCCGCCACGCCCATCCTCATCTACGACTACGTCTCCATGGGTGATGCCGCCACCTACCTCGCTAAAGGTGCGTGCACGCCCTCTGTCACACACACAGCTGTGTGCGCCCCATGCCACAGCTCTGTGCGCCTGCCTCTCCTCCTCGTCGTATCCTCCCTACCTCTCCCCTGCTTCTTCCTCCCCTCTTTCCCTGATCTCTGCTTTGTCTTCCCCTTTCCTGCCCCCGTCCTGCCCCCCCGGTGCCATGAGCCAGCCCTCCTCCCAACTCCTCCCCTCCCCTCCCTTCCCCTCCCCTCCCTTCCTCTCCCCTCCCCTCCCCTCCCCTCTCTTCCCCTCCCCTTCCATACCCTCCCCTCTCTTCCCCTCCCCCCCCTCTCCCCTCCTTTCTTCCTCTCCCCTTCCATCCGTCTCCATCCCTCCTCTCCTCCCCTCCCTTCACCCCCCCTCTCTTCGCCTCCTTTCCCATCCCCTCCTCATCCCTCCTCTCCTCCCCTCCCTTCCCCTCCCCTCCCCTCCCCATCCCTCCCCCTTCCCTTCCCCCTCCCCACCCCCCTCCCTCCCCCATCAGCGGCGAGGGGAGAGGTATCCTTCACGTGGAAGCAGCGGGTGGCGGTGGCGCTGGGGTGTGCGGAGGCGCTGACGACCATCCATGCCAATAACTTCGTGCATCGCGACTTTAAAGCCACCAACGTGCTGCTCCGCCAGGTGGGGAATGCTACCATGCTGCACCGCACTGAACCGCACTGGGCTGCTTAGGAAGGGGCAGTTGGGGCGGTGACGACCATCCACGGCAACAACTTGGTGCTCCGCGACTTCAAGGCCACCAACTTGGTGCACGGGGGGGAGAGATGTGTGTGCGGTGCAACCAGGTGAGGGGTGGGAGGAAGGTGGGGGGTGGGAGGGAGGTGAAGGGGGGAGAGATGGAGGGGGGGGGGAGGTGAAGTGAAGGGGGGAGGGTGGTGTGAGGGGGAGGGAGGTGGGACGGGGAGGGAGGTGGAAGGGGAAGGGAGGTGTCTTTCGCTGCTCCAAGAGGTGGATGGAGGGTAGAGGGGGAATAGGAGACAGGTGCGGTGCAGGTATCAACATGCTGTTGCGAGAAATGCCGGGAGGAGAGAGGCAAGGGTGAGGGGAGGGGACGAGAGTTGAGGTGTAGGAGAGTGAGGTGAGGATGGGAGAGCAGAGACAGGTGGATGGAGCTGGCCTCCTCCTCCCTCCCTCCTCCCTCCCCACTCCTCCCTCCCCCCTCCTCCCTCCCCACTCCTCCCTCCCCCCTCCTCCCTCCCCACTCCCTCCCCCCTCCTCCCTCCCCACTCCTCCCTCCCCCCTCCTCCCTCCCCACTCCTCCCTCCCCGCTCCTCCCTCCCCACTCCTCCCTCCCCCCTCCTCCCTCCCCCCTCCTCCCTCCCCACTCCTCCCTCCCCACTCCTCCCACCCCACTCCTCCCTCCCCACTCCTCCCTCCCTCTTCCTCCCTTCCCACTCCTCCCTCCCCACTCCTCCCTCCCCACTCCTCCCTCCCCACTCCTCCCTCCCACTCCTCCCTCCCCCTTCCTCCCTCCCCACTCCTCCCTCCCCACTCCTCCCTCCCCACTCCTCCCTCCCCCTTCCTCCCTCCCCACTCCTCCCTCCCCACTCCTCCCTCCCCACTCCTCCCTCCCCCCTCCTCCCTCCCCACTCCTCCCTCCCCGCTCCTCCCTCCCCACTCCTCCCTCCCCCCTCCTCCCTCCCCCCTCCTCCCTCCCCCCTCCTCCCTCCCCACTCCTCCCTCCCCGCTCCTCCCTCCCCACTCCTCCCTCCCCCCTCCTCCCTCCCCCCTCCTCCCTCCCCACTCCTCCCTCCCCACTCCTCCCTCCCTCTTCCTCCCTTCCCACTCCTCCCTCCCCACTCCTCCCTCCCCACTCCTCCCTCCCCACTCCTCCCTCCCCACTCCTCCCTCCCCACTCCTCCCTCCCCCTTCCTCCCTCCCCACTCCTCCCTCCCCACTCCTCCCTCCCCACTCCTCCCTCCCCCTTCCTCCCTCCCCACTCCTCCCTCCCCACTCCTCCCTCCCCACTCCTCCCTCCCCCCTCCTCCCTCCCCACTCCTCCCTCCCCGCTCCTCCCTCCCCACTCCTCCCTCCCCACTCCTCCCTCTCCACTCCTCCCTCCCCACTCCTCCCTCCCCCCTCCTCCCTCCCCCCTCCTCCCTCCCCACTCCTCCCTCCCCACTCCTCCCTCCTCACTCCTCCCTCCCCACTCCTCCCTCCCCACTCCTCCCTCCCCCTTTCTCCCTCCCCACTCCTCCCTCCCCACTCCTCCCTCCCCCTTCCTCCCTCCCCACTCCTCCCTCCCCCCTCCTCCCTCCCCACTCCTCCCTCCCCCCTCCTCCCTCCCCACTCCTCCCTCCCCCCTCCTCCCTCCCCCTTCCTCCCTCCCCACTCCTCCCTCCCCACTCCTCCCTCCCCACTCCCTCCTCACTCCTCCCTCCCCACTCTTCCCTCCCCACTCCTCCCTCCCCACATCACAGTGATGCCTCCTCACTGTGCTGTGCGCACCTCCCTCCGCACTCCGTCACCCCCACCCCTCTGGTCCATACACGTCAGCATGTCTCCGCGGTGCTGGCAGAGAGCTGACCTCACGCCACTCTTCCCTCCCCCCCATTGCCCCTCGTCCCCTCGTCCCTCGCCCCTCGCCCCACACCAGGACCTCACCCCGGTGGTGGCGGACTTTGGGTTGGCACGAGCAGTGGACGATTGGAAGACGCACGTGCAGACCAGGGTCATGGGGTCCGTGGGGTACATCGACCCCATCTACTTCGACTCCGGTCAGTGCTGTGCTACACTCCCAAGGGGAAAGGGGGGCTCGGGGGGTCTCTCTCACGTGCATGGGATGAGCGTCCTCTGATGGGGGCCGGGGGGTTCTCACGAACCCCCTTCCTCCTGCCCTCTCATCTCATCCTCGGGCAATGGGTTGACTAAGGCGAGGGTGGTGGGTGGGAGGGGAGGTATGGGGTACAGCGACCCCATCTACTTAGAGTCCCTCCGGTGGGGGCCCATGCACGCTGTGCTGCACCCTCCTGTGCTGCACCCTCCTGCGCACTCCCTTCTACAGTTCCTGCATCACATGTTCCCGGGCACTGGTTGACTGCAAGGCAACGGTGGTGCGGTGTATCGGCCCCATCTATTTTGGTTCCAGCCAGTGATCCTGTGACCCCCTCCTCCTGCCCTAGCTTCACACGCTACATGTCTCGGGCAATGGGTTGATCAAAGGGCGATGGCAATGGGTTGATCAAAGGGCGAGGGCAATGGGTTGATCAAAGGGCGAGGGCAATGGGTTGATCAAAGGGCGAGGGCAATGGGGTCGGTGGGTTACCTCAACCCCATTCACTTTATCGCTGGCCACTGCCCTCTCGCTCACTGCATTTGTTGTTCTCTCAGTCTTGTTTGCGCTGAGTCACTCGAAGTCCTACTCAAGGGCCGTGCGAGGGATTGAGGACCCCCATAGTACATCTACTTCCACTCTGGTCACTCACACCCTTTGCCTTGCCCTAAGCTCAAGCACCCTTCCATTCCCACTGGACCCACCCACATGCCATGCCCCACCCACATACCATGCCCCACCCACATACCATGTCCCACCCACATGCCATGCCCCACCCACATACCATGTCCCACCCACATGCCATGCCCCACCCACATACCATGTCCCACCCACATACCATGTCCCACCCACATACCATGTCCCACCCACATGCCATGCCCCACCCACATGCCATGTCCCACCCACATACCATGTCCCACCCACATACCATGTCCCACCCACATACCATGTCCCACCCACATACCATGTCCCAATACCATGTCCCACCCACATGCCATACCATGCTGTTGAGTAAACTCCAAAGTCACCTCAACATCCTGCTCCCCATCCAATCCCCCCCCCTCCCCAAACCTGCCTCCCCCTCTGCCCTCCCCCCCCCAGGCATGTTGAGTCGCAAGTCAGACACGTACGCGCTTGGCATCCTGCTTCTGTTCATCCTACGCCAAAACACACCACCAATTCGAAACGCCTTCCTGCTTCTGCTCACCTGCTGTCCCCTCTCCCCCTCCCTCCAGGCATGTTGAGTCGCAAGTCAGACACGTATGCATTCGGCATCTTCCTACTGGAGCTGGTGTCGGGGTGCTCCGCCCTGGACGCGCGGTTCAAGGACCTGCGCAAGCTGGTCACGGCCAAGGACTTCCCCGACCCCGCCCTCGTGCTGGACCCGCAGCTGCACGCCCAGTGGCAGCTCAAGCAGGTGCTCGTCGCCTTCACACTCATCAAGTTTGCCATCTTCTTTGACTGGGAGCACCGCCCCGGCATGGATGTGCTCCGTGACAAGCTAAAGAACTTGATTAATGACATGTGAGGGGGAGGGGGAGGGGGGTTGAGGGGCTAGGAGTGTTGTATTGGTGATAGTGGGGGTGCTGGTACGGTAGGTTAGAACGGGCGCATGTTAGAAAGTCAATGCAGTAATTATTTATGCTGATGTAGAGTGAGTGTGTTGCTCATGGTTAGCTATAATAGGCAAGTCCTTTTCTAGAGTGTTGTACATGTATACTTCAAGAGAAATGCCACACTGCATGCACGGAAAATTGTGCATTAAGTTGGTGTGAGCACTAGTGAAAGAGAAGGGAAGTTCACTGTCTGGGAGAGTTGGGTGCAATAGAGTAATATTTTTTTGCAAAATTCCCTAATTTATATATTATTCTACAATCCGTCTGTTTCAAACGTTACCAGATTCGCGAATATTGGGATTGCGATGGGGTTGCAGCATCGCGTTCTGATCGTGTTCTGGTGGTCCATCATCGCGTTATGGCAGTCCCAGAGCACATCGCACTGTCGTGTCAAGTTTTTGTTTGTGTCACCGCGTTTAGCGAATAGAATAAAAAACTAGTTCAAAAAGCTCTCACACTGTTTAACACTTTCGCAAGTACCGTATTACCCCGGATAGAAGCGCACCTGCGCTTATAATAAAGCCGAGTTTTTTAGGGGGGTGCGCTGTCAGAATGTTATATTTGTCTAGCCCGCAGTGGGGTACTCAATAGTGAGTACAGCCCAAATTAGGGTTAGCTATATGTACTCAACTGCCTGCTAGTGAAACCCCTCTTTTCTGTTTCATTCATTCGTTCACTATTCTGACATGGAATCAGAGCAGGTCGACCCTCCCGGGTCGATCCTGTGCATGGGCCAACCGTTAGCTTCCGCTGCTGCTGTCCTGCCTATCGCGCGCCTCGGGCGCGCGCCGTGGGCGCGTGGCATTTTTTCTTCCCGCCGCGCGCTGGGGGCGCGCGGCGGTTTTCTGCCCGTCGCGCCGCCCTGCTGGGCGCGCGGCGGTTTTCTGCCCTGCCCGGGTGGTTTGCTGCTCTGTCGCATCACCCCCGGGTGTCAAACTTATATGCTATAGTCTATCTAGGCTGTAGTGGGGTAGTTCATATAGGGTACAACACTTTCAGGTTTCCTACTTGTACCCACCTGCTTGCTAATTCAGTCATTCATTCGGTCAGGACTCTAACATGGTATTCTGAGCAGGTTCCCTCGTGGGAACGTTTTTTTTAGGGCCCACCACGAACATTTTTTTTTTCCTGCCCTGCCCGAAGTGCGCCTCGCGCCTGCCTTACCTGCGCCGTCGCGCGCCCTTCCTTAGCTGGCCCGTCGCGGCCCTGCCTCAGCCGGCCCGCCCCGGCCCGTAGCTGCCCGTCGCTGGCCCGTCGCCACGAGTCGCGGCCCTGCCTTAGCCGCCCACTGCGGCCCCGTGCTGCCCTTCGCCGCCCGTCGCTGGCCCGTCCCGGCCTGTCTAGGCCCGACCCGGCCCGTCCCGGCCCGTCTCGGCCCGTCCCGGCCCGTCCCGGCCCGTCACCGGCCCGTCCCGGCCCCTTTGCTGCCCGTCGTCGGCCCGGTCGCCGCCCGTCGCGGCCTCTGCCCTGCAGCCGCCCTGTCGCGGCCCCTGCCCTGCTGCCGCCCCAGTCGCGGCCCTGCCTTCGCCGCCCGTCGCGGACCCTGCCCTGCAGCCGCCCTCTGTCGCGGCCCTGCCTTGCAGCCGCCCACTGTCGCGGCCCTGCCTTGCTGCCGCCCCAGTCGCGGCCCTGCCTTCGCCGCCCGTCGCGGCCTCTGCCCTGCAGCCGCCCTGTCGCGGCCCTGCCCAACTGCCGCCCCTGTCGCGGCCCTGCCCTGCTGCCGCCCACTGTCTCGGCCCTGACCTAAACCGCCAGCTGCGGCCCTGCCCTGCACCCGCCCCTGGTAAGCACCTGCACTGCCCTGCCGCGCCGCGCCACCTGCTGCCGCGCCGCGCTGCCAGGAACCGAGCCGCGCCGCCCTGCCGAGCCGCGCCGCCCAGCCGAGCCGCGCCGCCCTACCGAGCCGCGCCGCCCAGCCGAGCCGCGCTGCCCTTCTGCTTGCACTGCTTCTGCTGCCTCTACTGCTGCTACTGCTGCTACTGCTGCTATGGCTAGCCCTACTGTTCTCACCTTTGATGCTAAGGGGCGTGCAGTTGACTTTGACGTGTGGGTTGACGACCTGCAGCTCTTTCTTCAGTGTGACTCTAGGGATGGGGTATCCCTTTTCGATCACACGTCGGGTGCCTCTACTGCACCTGCTGCCACTGCTGACAGTATGGTTCGCTCGCAGTGGACCACTCGTGACGCTATTGCTCGCCTTGCTGTTCGTAGTCACCTACCGCCTGCTGAGCGCGCGCATTTTGGCCAGTACAAGACTGCTAAGTCTTTGTACAACGCTGTAATTGCGCGCTACTCCTCCCCTGCCACTGCTGCCCTCAGCCGCCTCATGCTGCCGTACCTTTTCCCTGACCTTGCCGCCTTTGCCACAGTTGCTGACCTCATTACTCACCTCCGCACTAGTGACGCCCGCTACCGCGCTGCCCTTCCCACTGAGTTCTGTGCCAAGAACCCCCCCCCCCCATGTACATCACCCTTTACTACCTAGTCACCCGCCTCCTTGACTCCCTTGCTTCAGTCAGGGACCACTTTCTCTCCCTTTGCCCCACCGAGCTCACTGTCGACCTGCTAGAGGAGCGCCTCGCAGCAACTGAGAAGAGTAACTTAGCTGTAGGTGCTTCTCGCGGCGACCGTCGCACCCCTTTCTTTGAGGGGTGTTCACCTGTCCCCCTTCTCCCCTCTGTTGCTTCTGCTGCTGCTGTCGACCTCGTTAGCACTGAGGAGGTCAGGGCTGCGTCTGCTCCCAGTGGGAGGCGCCGCAACAGCAAGGGCAAGGGGAGCAAGGGTGGTGGAGGGGACGGCGGGGGCGGCGGCGGAGGCGGTGGAGGAGGCGGAGGGGGTGGCGGTGGAAGTGGGGGTGTTGTTGGGAGTGGGAGCTTCAGTGGCGGCGGTGGAGGTGGTGGAGGCAGCGGCGGAGGTGGTGGAGGCAGCGGCAGCGGTGGTGGAGGCAGCGGCAGCGGTGGTGGAGGTGGCGGCGGTGGTGGTGCTGGTCGAGGTGCAGCCGCGCATCGTGGAGGCTTTGGTGGTAGCCAGCGCCAGCAGCAGCCGCGTTCCCGTGAGACCCCGTCGGCCCAGCAGCTTCGTGAGTGGTACGCTGGGCGTGGGAGGTCTGGGAGTGCTGGTCCCTGTACTTACGTTCTTCGCACCGGCTGGCGTCGTGGGGAGACGTGCGGGCTGCCACACACTGCGCAGCGCTGCTTCGGTCGCCTGACTGACACCTGGTGCGCCCAGTTTCCTGACGCCATTGAGCTCCCTCGCTGGGGTGATCTGCTTAGGCAGAATGTTGCTATCTTTGATCTTGATTTCGATGCTATCCTTGCTGCTATGTATGCTGTGACTGATAGTGCTGAGGGTGACTGTTACCTGAGTGTCCCGCCCGACCCGGGCATTGAGGCAGCTGCTCTAGGTGCTAGTGCGTCTGCTGCTCCAGGTACTGGTGAGTCTGTTGCTCCAGGTGCTGGTGAGTCTGCTCTCTCTGGTACTGCACCTACTGAGGCCTTGCACACTTTCACACTTGACTCTGGTGCTTCGCACTCTTTCTTCCGCGACAGCACCACACTCACGCCGCTCAGTCGGCCTGTCGCAGTCTCCTTAGCTGACCCCTCTGGGGGCCCAGTCCTTGCGCACTCTTCCACGGTTCTACCGTGTCCTGCGGCCCCGTCGGGCTTGCTGTCGGGACTCCACCTCCCCTCGTTCTCTACGAACCTGATGAGTGGAGGTGACCTCCAGGACGCGTGGGTCGACCAGTTCACCCCCGGAGGTCAGCGTGTGACCCACTGCACTTGCTCTCGGACGGGCCGCCACCTGGCCACGTTCACCCGTCGACCTGGGTCGAGTCTGTACACACTGACTACTGCATCTCCTCCGGTCACTGCGTCTGGTCAGGTAGCCGCGTCTAGTCAGGTGTTTGCTGCCGCGTCCAGGTCTAGTCCAGAGTCTGCCCCCTGCTCGTGTCGTCCTCTGTCGCACGAGACTCTCCTTTGGCACCACCGCCTTGGTCACCCCTCCTTGCCTCGTCTTCGAGGTATGGCCTCCCGTACTCTTGTCTCTGGTCTTCCCCGGTCCCTCCCTCCCCTTCCTCCGGGGCCTGCCCCTACCTGTGTTCCGTGTGTCGAGGGCCGGCAGCGCGCCGCTCCTCACTCCTCCACGTTCCCTCCGACGGAGGCTCCCCTACAGACGCTTCACATGGACGTGCGGGGCCCAGCCCGCGTACGTGGACAAGGTCACGAGCGTTACTTCCTGCTGGTCGTTGACGACTACTCGCGTTTCACCAAAGTCTTCCCCTTGCGCAGCAAGGGTGACGTCACTGAGGTGTTGATCGACTGGATCCGCGTTGCTCGTCGCCAGCTCAGCGAGCGTTTCGGCTCGGACCTTCCTGTTCTGCGTCTGCACTCAGACAGAGGTGGTGAGTTTTCCTCCGACCTTCTGAGGGTCTTCTGTCGTGCGGAGGGCATCCGTTAGACGTTCACGCTTCTGGCCTCTCCACAGCAAAATGGAATTGCTGAGCGCCGCATTGGCATGGTCATGGATGTCACTCGTACGTCCATGATCCATGCGGCTGCTCCCCATTTTCTGTGGCCATTTGCGGTTCAGTACGCTGCGCATCAGATCAACCTTCAGCCTCGTGTCTCCTTGCCGGAGACCATACCTACTCTGCGGTGGACGGGGAAGGTTGGAGATGCGTCTGTGTTCCGTGTCTGGGGATCTCGAGCTTTTGTCCGCGATACTTCAGCGGACAAGCTGTCCCCCCGTGCCGTTCCCTACGTCTTCCTTGGCTTCCCCCCTGACGCACCCGGGTGGCAGTTCTACCACCCCACCTCGCGTCGTGTTCTGTCCTCTCAGGACGTCACGTTTGATGAGTCGGTGTCTTACTACCGTCTCTTTCCCTACCGATCTGCCTCTCTCCCCCCCCCGC